TAGGGTTGCAGGATTTGATCACTTAGCCCTGAAAAACCCTCTGTCTATCCTCAACATAGCAAGAGTGTCTGCCACCCTCTCCTGTGTGTATTTGATTCAAATATCCACATTTGGGGGGGGGGGAGATTTTTCATCCCTGTTCCCCATCTAAACTCATTGTTGTTTATTTTTACGCCATTTTCCTCCAGAGCAGGGACCCGGTGCACAGACGATTAAGCAAACAAACAAACAGACAAATCAGGTAAAATGAGGATAAATTATGCCACTGAAAACCAATTGAACATTCAGTAATGCTAAAAAGATAACTAGTTTAAAAACAAGTAATGATGCTTGACGTGTGCACAAACACACACACACACACACACACACAAGAAAGAAGCACTAAAAATATACATCCATCTGCAACCAAACTTCTTTCTCAGTTGTCTAATTCACTTCCTAAAAGCTGGCTGAAAGAATAACAGGGAGAAAGCATGAGCCTGGCTTCCTGTGGAAGGGAGTTCCACCGTCCAAGAGTAGCTACTGAAAGGCTCTTGTTTCTGCATCCACCAAGTATACTTGTGAGGATGGTGGGCCTGAGAGAAAGAGTTCCTTGTCTGGATCTTGAAAGGAAAGGAGTCCCGTACGAAGATTTACGGACATTCAGACAATCTCTACCCAAGTCACATAGGAGTTGATTTGCACATTTTTTTTTCCAAATCAGGCTGTAAGTTACCTTGAACCTCAGTTCCTGGAGACAGGTGAGATTAAAATAAAATAAAATAAAGTGAGCTAACTTTTAGGGCTCCTTCCCTAAACAAGGCATTGTGGATAATGTGGCCTCAGAGATGACCTGTGCCACGGCAGCAGTCCTCATAATGCCTTATTGGGCCATTGGTGGAAAGAGACGAAAGAGGACATAGGGAATGCAACGACCCAGTCTAGGAGGAAGAGCATGGCTGGCACATAGAATCAGTGGTGGGAGTGTGTGCACCCACCTTCTTCACTTGGTAGGATCTCCCCCCAACAGTGTTGCCCCAAGCAGTTCCCTCTGTTTTATGAAAGAGGGCCCATGGTACTTAGTTCAGACCATACCATGTCCTAATCAATCAATCAATCAGTCAGTCAATCAGTTAATCAATCAATCTGTCTGTCTGTCTGTCGGTCTGTCTTCCATCCATCCATCGGACCATTACCATGTCCTAATCAATCAATCAGTCAGTCAATCAGTTAATCAATCAATCTGTCTGTCTGTCTGTCGGTCTGTCTTCCATCCATCCATCCATCCATCCATCCATCCATCCATCCATCCATCCATCCATCCATCCATCCATCCATCCATCTATCCATCCATCCATCTATCTATCTATCTATCTATCTATCTATCTATCTATCTATCTATCTATCTATCTATCTATCTATCTATCTATCTATCTATCTATCTATCTATCTATCTATCTATCTATCTGTGCCTGTTCTGAAGCCTGACAGAGCAAGGGGTCAAGGGTGCTTATAATTCGTCTGCTAGGCATGCAACCTGCAGGGATCTGACAGAATTTCTTGGCTTAAATGCCCAAAGTTTCTGGCCAGGATACCATATGAATGAGTTTGTTTGTTTGTCTGTCTGTTTGTCTGTCTGTTTGTCTGTCTATCTGTCTATCTATCTATCTAAACCCAACTATCTCCATTAAAAGGACCCAAAGAGTTCATATAACTAAAAGATAATGTTTAATTTTTTTAAAAAATAAAGTATATAAATACTAAAAAGAGGTCAAACAAATGCCACGCTAAAAGACAGTAAGCAAAGGAACACACACACACACAAAAAGTAGGTCTTGTGGTATCATTAAACTCAAACAGTGTCAGAGGAGGCCAACGAAGATGATCTGGAAACCACGCTGTAAAAGGAAGGACTGTAAGAACTGGGCAAGTAGTTTGGACTTAAGCAGAGAAGATGGAGGGGAGATAGGATCACGCTTTTCAAAGACTTGAAAGGCTGTCATTCATAGGAGGGGCAGCAGGAGCTGTTCTCAGTTGTTCCAGAGTGCAGGGATAATGGGCTCAAGTTACAGGAAGCCAGATTTCGATTGAAAATCAGGGAAAAACTTCCTAACTGTTAGAGCAGCATGACAGTGGAACCCATGACCTCGAGAGGTGGTGAGCGCTCCAACGTTGGAGGCCTTCAAGAGAAATTTAGGGAACCGGCTGTGAGATCTGCTTTGATTTGGATTCCTGCCTTGAGCAGGGGGTTGGACTCGATGACCTTACGGGCCCCTACCAACTCCATTATTATGTGATTAAAACATGTCTCCCTTTCCCCTGCCAAGCAATATTCTGCAAGGAATATAGGAACTATTAATATTAGCATAAACGATTAAAGGGTGATTCTGTTTGACAACAGAGAGTGGAATACATTGGTGATTCATTGTCTTTGTTCAGTTCCCTTGCCTTTTGCTTCCTTTTTGAATTCCTTGCATTAGTTCACCAGTAAAGTCTCTCTCCCACGCTTCGCTCTCACCCCCTCTTACTCCTCTCTCTCTCTCTCCATTCTGTGTATTCAGTAATTCACAATGGTTCTCTCTGGCTTTATTACAAATTAATGAGAGCCTTGCTGCATTACATAATTAAGTACTATCATATTCACGGCTACATAATGAACTCTCCCCCAAAAGAACATAGATCCACTTGGCACCTCTTATGAATTCATCACAGGAGACGGCCGAGCTACCAAAGCGGCAGGTTGAGGAGGCCTCAGCGCCACAGGTTCTAATCCCAGAAGGGCCCTAAATTGGAAATAAATTGGACACCTTGCTGTTTCATGGACAGGGAGTCATCCTCGAGGGGGCTTTTGATAAAGGAGCTGGGAAAGGAGATTCTTCCTGAAACCCAAGCAGGGGGCAGAGGAAGCACATCAAACAAGGACATGAAAAATGGACTTGCCTGCACAGCTAATTCCTTCATCAGCATCCGGTGTGATTTAGTGAAACCCTCCTGGTCTCCGATCCTGGCTTGAATATGAGCAGAAGAGAGAGGCAAATGCCTGATGCTTAACAGAGAAAAGAAAACTAAGGGGAAGAGATTAAATTTGCTGTTGCTTAGTTGTTTAGTCATGTCCGACTCTTCGTGACCCCATGGACGAGAGCACGCCAGGCCCTCCCGTCTTCCACTACCTCCCGGAGTTGGGTCAAAGTCATGTTGGTCACTTCGGTGACCCTGTCCAACCATCTCATCCTCTCTTCTCCCCTTCTCCTCTTGCCTTCACTCTTTCCCTAATCATGAAGCTCATTTCCCAATTGGCATTTGGTAGTGATGGGGGACATGAGTTATAAATTCGTTGGGAGATTTAAGGGGGCTTTTGTCATTTTTAGTTGTTAGTTGCTTTTAGCCTGGCGTGCTCTGGTCCATGGGGTCACAAACAGTTGGACAGGACTAAATGACTAAACAAGAACAATTGAGCACAGTGTCATCTGCTGTGTTTTCAGTAATCCATATGTCCCACAAATGTGGACAGTTTTTTCAAGGGCATATCCTCTTAAATGTTCACTATCCCCCAGTGAGCATATGTGTCCATGTGTGCACTCTATGTTCTTTTTCCCCATGCAAGGACAAACCAGATCAGAATTCCCACCCCTAATATAGAGGGGAAGGCAGCACTGGGGTGAAAACCTAGATTTGCCATGCCCATTAACTGAATATTCAAGTGAGAGAGAGAGAAATACGTGTTCTAATAATTTTAAACCTTAATTGTGAAGTCTAATTAATGTATTCATTACGATCCCAGGTCTATGCACGCCTCACTCCATTTTTCTGTTTGATGTTACAGCAAAGCGTCAAAGCTGTTTTGTCGGGAATATCATGGGCCAAAATGGCTCAATTACGCTTCCTTTCTTTTGATGCCGAAATTATCTTCTGTAATTTCTCTCTGTATTTTTGTAATAGGTACAGGATAGGAATATAGGGTGTCATTTAGCGGTCCCAGAATGTAATCTGAAATGATCTCCTTTTGAGGTGAACGTGGGGGATTCGGGTTGGGGGGCAACACGTGAGAGGAATGGTGAGACCGGGAGTGGTATTGAAATTTTCCCTAATGAAAAACCCACAGCAAATTCGGAAGTTTCTTCCTTGAACAAAATCTCTGCGAAAGGCAGAAAGAACCTCCCGTAACTTGTGAGGGGAAAAGAATGGAGGCTTTTGTTGAGCGTTCTTTTGTCAGAGAAGAAATCAGAGCTGGCCCTACTATGAGGCAAAGGGAATAAACCTTCGAGACCATGATAGCCCACCATCTTCTTCAGCATCTGTAGAGGAGCTGTCCCAGAATCAGGAAAAAAATATATATTTTAAAGCAAGTATTAATGGCAGGAGTGTCTTTGATTGACCCTGAAATACATGTTTTGGATTCCTTCTGACCCAGAGCTGTCTGGGTAGCTCAGCGAGTTAGGTTTCTGCTTAGGGAGCCAGAGGTCGGGAGTTTGATTCCTCCACTGTGCCTCCTGTGAATAGAGCCAGCCTCTACAGTGGAGTCTCTACTTAAGAACTTAATCTGTATTGGAAGGCGGTTCTCGTTTGATTCCCCCACTGTGCTTGTCGTGAGTAGAGCCAGCCTCTATAGCCTTGGGCAAGTGGCTACTCAGTCCCCAGGGCACCTCCAGAAGAAGGGAATGGGAAACCACTTCTGAGTACTGTGTACCTGAAAAACCCTGAAAAGGGTACCCATAAATTGGCATTAAATTGGCGGCACAGGGTCATCATTATTCTAGTCCAGATGTTGCCAAAAGGTTTCAAAAACATCCTCTAGGTTTCCAGGCAAATTACTTCACGGAAGGTGAAGCGGGCGAACGCATTGCGATTCCTCCCGGCAAAAAGTCAGACAGTTTTCAAAGAGAAGTCAAAGCGTTTTGGTCAAAAACCAGCAGCATTACTAAATTAGCTTGGATCTCTGTTTAAAAAGCTAATTCCTGGGTTTAGCTCACCTTGAGTTTCCGATTATTACTCATGCTCTCTCTTTTTATAAATATTTTCAGAGCGATATGTTGGACGTCAACCAGATCATTAAGGACTTGGCTTCTATGGTGTACGAGCAAGGAGACACGATAGGTACGTCGTTTGTATTGTTGTATGCTGTCCTTTTAAGTTCAAAATGTTTGGATTTAGGGGGGAAAAGATTTCTAAACTAAAAAATAATAATGATAGTGATCATCCTGTTTTAATGATAATGATGATCTTAATTTATTGTGATTTTACACCTCTGTTTTTAATTGCTGTAGGCCTTTTTTGTTATGGACCATTCTCGTTTATGTTGCCCTTAAAAAAGGCTGAGGGTGGCTTTGCAATTTCCTGGTACTTGTATGTACAATGTCCTTGTTGTTAGACATCTCCTCCTTCTGAGAGCGAGGTTCAGCCTCGGCAAGTTTGTCAAGCGAATTCAACGGGAGGATAATGCAAAATGACAGCTGGGGAGGAAAGAATTCCCACGTGCCTTTGAGTTTTCCTTGTCTGTGCTCAAGGGAGGAGAACAAACCGAGATGTGTCTTCCTATACATGTTCCAACAAAGTTGAGATAGCTTCGCAGATATTGGCCTACAAAGTATGAACAAAGTATGTCAAGGTGCTTTGTGTGAGGATGGCAAGAACCGAGAAACATCAAGTACTGAGCCTCTATCTTCTGCTCAGATACAGAGCATGAAACTTTTGTTGAGTTCATCGTTTTCAACTGGAGTAATTCCATGTATCAGTCTTAAAAGTATGAGTGAGTCGATCTTGCTTTAAATACACACACACACACACACACACACACACACACACACACACACACACACACACACACACACACACACACACACACACACACACGTGAACTCATTTCAAACAGTATTTACTCATGTTTAGTTGAGTAGCTAACTAGAGGCAGTGCAGTCTCCTTTGGAAGGGAGACCACACCTTTCCTTGATAAAGACATGAAACTGAGACTCAAGATAGTGGAATTATGGGAGGTCTTCTAGATATTTGGGACAAAGAAACAACCACTTGGATTAACTTTGGAGAAACAGGAAAGAAAGACTGGGCTACACCTAATATCTATGCATTTAATGCAAAGAGATCAAACCTATCCATTCTGAAGGAAATCAACCCTGAGTGCTCACTGGAAGGACAGATCCTGAAGCTGAGACTCCAATACTTTGGCCATCTCGTGAGAAGAGAAGACTCCCTGGAAAAGACCCTGATGTTGGGAAAGTGTGAAGGCAAGAGGAGGAGAAGGGGACGACAGAGGATGAGATAGTTGGACAGTGTCATCGAAGCAACCAACATGAATTTGACACAACTCTGGGAGGCAGTGGAAGGCAGGAGGGCCTGGTGTGCTCTGGTCTGTGGGGTCATGAACAGTCGGACACGACTTAATGACCAAACAACAACACTTATATATAGTTTCACTTAGTTGAAGAATGTGAGAGGGCCTGAGCTACACCTGATATCTATGTATTTCATGTTTCTCTATGCTTTTACTTAGTTATGGTATGTAAGATTCACTTTATACTGTATTGCAAAATATAAAAAGCAAACAAAGCTGCATTTATTCACGGTATCATTACTACTACTATTAAAATGCCATCTGAAAATAACAGACTGGCAGAATTTATTATACCATAGGTCAGCACTAGACCAGGAATAAAGAAATTGGAAATGAATACAGTTAAGTTCTGAAACATTGTTCTGCTATTCTGGAAGAAGTCAAGCTAATCAATTGGGTGTTTTATGGAGTCTCTTCAATCCAATCTCCCCAAGGAGGGTTTGTTCTTGAAATTTGGCTGAAACTAACCTTTATGATGTTACCTGTAAAGGAATATGCTAAAGCCAGTAGTGACTGCAGAATGATAAGCTTAGTGGACCAGCCTCTACTCTCATGTCTGAGGAAGTGGACTTGTCTATGAAAGCTCACATTAAAATGCAGCAGTTAGAACTTAAGGTGTTGCAACAAATTCCTTAAAGGTGATGCATGGCAACATTTATAAGAAGTGCAAAGAAAAGGGGGAGACAGAACAGTGGTGCCTTGCTTAACAAACACACCGTTTAATGACGAATCCGCATAGCGACGTGTTTTTTTCGATCGCTAATGCGATCGCATTGCAATGTTTTAGGTGGCAAAACATCGCATTGCAATGATCAGTAAGAGTTTCGCTTAACGATCTTCGCATTGCGATGTTTAGAAAACAGCTGATTGGCGGTTCCAGAATGGCCGCCGGATCAACAAAATGGCCACCCGCAGCGTTTTCGTGCCAATTCCTCGCTTACTGAGGTGGTGAAAATGGCGGCCCTATGGAGGATTCCCACTTAGCGGTGAGTTTTTCCCCAATAGGAACGCAATAGTATGGACTTTCACCTTACTCACACAACCATAAAACCTTTCATAAAGTACAGCATAGAAAGCTGATCTAATTTTTAGTGACAATAGATTTGAGAAGATAAAAACTCTCCGGTCGATTTGAGAGGCCTTCATATAATTGGCAACCTGCTCTAGCAACAGAAGCGGTAGTGAAAGCAGAAGATCAGATGACGGAGAACACAGTGAGATGAAGAAGAGCAGGTTGTATATGGTTTGTGGGGCAGGAGGGGAAGAGGGTGGAATTGAACTCCCAACCTCTGGCTTCACCAGAGAATTACAGACAAGAGAACTAATTGGATAAAGAACCCGGTTGTCTGGTTTGGGCATACCGTTGTGTTTTTGTCCATGTCAGTAGCTAGCAGGAGATGTTGGCCAGAATTCTATTGCTGGTTTTTGCTCGTGTGAGGGGAACCCTATAAGTTTTGGCTGCCATTGATGAGGTGAGGACTGTATTCTCATCCAGGGGTGATGAGAGGCAATTTGCTCCTTTTGTTTCCCCCACAGAGGTGTAAACAGCAACAACATCCTCTGTAAAGCTATTAAAATAATCTTCATGGATAGAATGTCTTCATTGGGAGCCGCCCAGGTCCAGTTTTGTGTGTGTTGGTCTCTCCACTGCCATTAATGGTCAGCGTTGAAGAGTGTCTTGCTTGAGGGATGGGGAGCAAGTTCAAGATGACGTGAGAAGCCATTGACTGGTGTTCTTGCTCGGCAGCCCCTCTTGCCCGAAATCAAGGTTCTCCGATTGACAAAGGCTTCAAGAGCCACGTCTGATGTGGACGCCTTGAGCTGCATGACAAGAGCCCCACTTATTTCTAGGATTCTTCTCACTGCGTCCCTCCTAGCTAGATTGATTTTGCTCCAGAGATACCCATGCAACGTAAACAAGGAAGAGTAGGAAGAGTAAGTTTGGGGGAAGCAGGACAAAATAAGATTTTCCTATTCCAAACCAGTGCTGTTATTCATTTCACTCCTCCTTGTGCTTTTATACACTTCCTGCTGGCAACATTTGGCAGTGAGTTTCCTCTGAGCAAGTCCATTCCTGATCCAAATAGATCTAGTTTTGCAAGTTATCTATCGGGTTAATGTCTTCAAGGACTGGACTTTGCAGCACTTGATACTTTAGCTACAGACGAGTTGGGGGGGAAGGAGTAGGGAAGGAAATCAGAGCCGCATTATAGAATTGTGCTTACAACTGGCAGGATTACACTAATCCCAGCAATGTGTTGTAAACAATGTTTGCGACCCCAAGGGGCAGGGGAAGCTCTCCGGCAGGGTTTTGCTGAAGCTGATTCTGTAAATTATGGGCTCAAGGAGGAATCTCGTTTGGAGATGTACGTAGGAAGCTGCTTTCTAGAAAGTCAGACTCTGCAACTAGCAATGGACCTCTGGCATTCAAGACTGAGGTCTTTAGGATGTTACTTCTCAGAATTCATCAGTTACACTCACACGGACATACACACACACAAGTAGTTAGCTTCCCTTACAGGTGGACAAGCAGGATCACAGCTGAATGTGAAGAAAACAAAAATCATGATTAGAAAAGCATTATATATATTATATATTATATAATTTTAGTGTGAATTGTGAAGACGTTGAAGTTCTGAAAGATTTTGTGCATCTCAATTCAGTCATCGGTCCCAATGGAGAATGCAGGCAGGAAATCAGAAGATAGAAGACTGAGATGCAGGAAGAGCAAGAAAAGATCATCAAGTACACGGCATTGAGGAGCACGGCCAGAATCACACACACCATGGTATGAAATATCAACAACCTCCGATATGCAGATGATACCACTGTGATGGCAGAAAGTGAGGAGGAATTAAAGAACCTTGTAATGAGGGTGAAAGAGGAGAGTGCAAAAAATGGTCTGAAGCTCAACATCAAAAAAAAAAAAAAAAAAAAAACTAAGACCATGGCCACTGGTCCCATCACCTCCTGGCAAATAGAAGGGGAAGATATGAAGGCAGTGACAGATTTTGCCTTCTTAGGCTCCCTGATCACTGCAGGTGGGGACAGCAGCCACAAAATTAAAGGACGCCTGCTTCGTGGGAGGAAAGTGATGACAAACCTAGACAGCATCTTAAAAAGCAGAGACATCACCTTGCTGAAAAATTCCGTATAGTCAAAGCTACAGTATTTCCAGTAGCAATGTATGGAAGTGGGAGCTGGACCATGAAGAAGGCTGACTGCCGAAGAATTGATGCTTTTGAATTTTGGTGCTGGAGGAGACTCTGGAGAGTCCCCTCGACTGCAAAGAAAACGAACCTATCCATTTAGAAGGAAAGCAATCTTGAGTGCTCACTGGAAGGGCAGATCCTGAAGCTGAGGCTCCAATACTTTGCCCATCTCATGAGCAGAGAAGACTCCCTGGAAAAGACCTTGATGTTGGGAAAGTGTGAAGGCAAGGGGAGAAGAGGATGACAGAGAACGAGATGGTTGGACAGTGTCATCGAAGCTACCAACATGAATTTGATCCAACTCCAGGAGGCAGTGGAAGACAAGAGGGCCTGGCATGCTCTGGTCCATGGGGTCACAAAGAGTCAGACAAGACTTCATGACTAAACAACAACAACAGCTTACCAAGGTTCGTAGATCTTACATTACCTCTGGAGCTACTTGTACTTGTCCTCCAGTCTTCCTCAGTAGGATGTTGGATGCCTTCTGACTGGAGGGTCCCATCTTCCAGTGTCATATCTCTTAGCCCCTTGTTTCTGTCCATGGAGTTTTCTTGGCAAAGATATTGGAGTGGCTTGCCAGTTCCTGCTCAAGGTGGATTGCATTTAGTTAGAACTCTCCACTATAACCTGTCCATCTTGGGTGTCCCTGCACGGCATAGCCCATAGCTTCTCAGAATTACTCAAGCCCCTTCACCACGACAAGACAGCAATCCATGAAGGGGCATAGAATCATAGAATCATGTAATTAGCCATTATTGTGTGCCCTGCACTCTTCAGTGATTAAGCACAGATACTGCTCCTCCCCTGCAGATCAGTCTTATGACTAACTTACTTTAGAGGAATTTTAAACTAATAAAACCACTCCATCAAATATCTCCTGTACTTTGAAACCTTTTTAAGGTCACTGTTGATTTTTGCTGCAAAAGACTTAAACAACTGACCATCACACTACACCTTTAATTTCTAAAGAGGTTTACTATAAAATGGAATAGACTTGGCAGCCCTTAATTCTCCCCCCCCCCAATTATCCAACTAGCAGTCCTTAATGCAAATATATCTATTTTGTGATCTCCATATAGAATTAGATTTTACTTGAAAATCTTCAAAGCAACCATCTTTTAAACTAGAATGTTTCTTATTCTGTTATCTTGGCATTTGTCTTCATGCCTGCTTGTCGTTACCTTGGTTGTAGTTTGAAGTAAGGTATATATTAAATCTGATTAAACTGCAGGACATGCTTATAATTCCATACCTTGTAATTATCTTCTCTACTCTTTATTTAAAGACAGCATTGAAGCCAACATAGAGACTGCATCATCTAACGTAGAGTCTGCGAATGAGCAACTTGCTAAAGCCAGTCAGCACCAAGTAAGTAGATCTTTTTTAAAAACACCATGCATTCTGCATCAATCTATTCAGGTGAACATGCTTTTCAAAACAACATGGGAATTGAATTTGGCATGGTATCAACATTAGTTGGAAGTGACTTAGATTGCTGGTAAAATGAGAGTTTGTTGTTGCGATGAGCTGTCAAGTCACCTCCAACTTACGACAGCCCTACGAATGGGCAAGAATGTCCTTCCCTTCTCCATAAGCCCTGCTCATCTCTTGCAAATGCAACCCTTCCAGAGGGAGTCAATCTATCTTATATTTAGTCTTCCACTTTTCCTGCTGCTCCCCACCTTTCCCAGCATTATTGTCTTTTCCAGAGAATCCTGCTTTCTCATGAAAAATGGGAAACTTCTTAAAAGTTTCATCATTTTTGACTCCAGAGATTGTTCAGGCTTGATCTGATCTAGGACCCACTGGTTCGTCTTTATGGTAGTCCAGGGTTTCTGCAAAACTCTCCACCAGCATCATATTTCAAACAGATCATTTTTCCCCCTCCTGTCAGCTTCCTTTAGCTTTCACACGCAAACAATGTAGATCAGAAATTCAATAATATGGATGATCAGGGTCACATCCTTACACCTGATTCCTTCACTTTTTTAAATTCCTTCATTGCTGTTTTTCTGAATCTCAGCCTTCTTCTGATTTCTTGGCTACAGCCTCCATTTGGATTGATGTTTGAACCACGGGAGACAAAATCTTCAATTGCTTCAATTTTTTCATTGTCAACACTAAAGTTGTGCAGTTCCTTTGTAGTCATGATTTTTGGTCTTCTCAATGTTCAGTTGGCCTCGGAAGTCCTTTGAAGTCATTGCTGCTTTCTGCCACCAAGACATCTGCATGTCTTAAATTACTGATATTCCTTCCATTAATTTTTACAGAATCTAGTCCAGCTTTCCAAAGGATTTATTCTGTGTACAGATTTGAACAGTGTGGCAATTTCCTCTGAAGCCCCTATTTCCCCAGGCCTCCACGAGGTTATCGCCCTTCTTCTTTCTTTGCTGCCACCAGGTATTGCTGCCTCAATACCATTCACTCAAGGAGACATGTGTACTTTTGAAACTTAACTCATTTATTAGATCAGGGAAGTTAACGTCTGATTAATATACAGTTCGTAAATCACAGGTTGCTAATCATTTGTATTATAATCAGTTCTACATTAACTTTAAAGCTCTATCAACTCTCTGTTCCAGTCAGCATTCTTACAGATCTCTAACTCACTCTAAGTTCACTTTTAAGTTTCACACTGTTTCTCACTCCCAGAATCTCTCTTCATACTCCATACACCATCCTTTATATCCAGCCCCCTCCCCCCTTGGCACCGCCTTCCGTCCTCTCATTGGCTCCTTCTCCACTGTACAGCTGTGATGGACAGGTGAGGGCAGGGCTGTTTGCTACAAACAGTTAAGGTGATAAAATACACCCTTGTCTGACAAAGGTGATAAAATACACCTTTGCCTATAGGAAACCATTGTCTCTCCATATTCTGTCCTCACAGTAGCTTCTTGTCCACAATACAAGTTATGCATCAGGACAATCAAGTGCAGAAGCATGCCCAATTCTTTCAGAACAACCCATAATTTCTCACCATCCACCCAGTAAGAGGCTTTGCTGTTGTCTATAAAGTATGGACTGATCTTCTTCTGAAGCTCTTTGGTGTGCTCCAGTAGCCAGAGGATATTCGTGATCTTGAGTGCCTTTCCTTTTCCTGAACCCAGCTTGGACATCTGGCATGTCTCACTCCATATAAGGTAAAAGCCTTCCTTGCAACACTTTGAGCATCCCTTTGCTTCCATGGGAAATTACAGCAATGGTCCTATAGATGCTACTCCATGGCATCTCCTTTCTTGGGGATTGGAATGTATAGTGAGTATTGCCAGTCTGTGGGCAATGTTTTCCACATCTGTTCACACATTCTTGTTAATGGGACCTGAAACTCTTCTTTCTCCTACCACGATTTAAATGCTTTCATTGTTGGTAGCTTGGATGATGGTCATCATTTTGAGATCTGCCCACTGCTAATGAAGCATTAGCTGCTGTGGTCCTTTGAAATGTGGTATTAAAACACATTGTTTAAGGCTCCTGCCTTCTTTTTTCCTCAGCACATCCAAACTAGGCAGGCGGTTGAAAAGACTAGTGTTACTATCGGATGGGACACTGTCAAAGAATAAGGTGCAAACTGCAATCGTTCTAAGGCTGTGTCAAGAATTCAGTTGCACCAAAGTAAGAATGAAGCTGGCATGTGCAATCCATTGGCCTTGTGGGAAAATAATTCAAAACAAGGAATCTTACTATAATTCTGGTCAAATTCAGGGGCTCTCCTTGGGTTTTCCTTGGGGTTGCTAGCACATCATCCTAGCAAATCATAAGAAAGGAGCAGGATCGCCAGCTCTGAGGACTCTGGCTGACGTTTTAAGGAATGGTCTCTCTGGATTTCCACCAGGTTACTGATATCAATGTGAACAGACAGGGCAGGAGGAAAAAGGTTGGTTTGTACGTGAGGCAGCTTTAAATAGGGTCCCCTGCATCTGCCCATTCCCTGCTGGCACCAGAGTTCACTGGCTAAGTAGAAAAATATATGCTTCTCAGTTGTGCTTCCTTCGGTCCTGTACTTTGTCTGCTCCGGCTCTCTGATATCACAAGGACCCACCTGCTCGCCTTAGGATTGAGCCCTGACGTCTGTTAAGGAGCAGAAGGTTGTTTCCGGATATTTTACATGGAAAATCTTGGAATCACAAGGATCCCTGCAGAGTTCTGACAATTTGGTGCAAAAAAAGGTGCTGAAAGGTGGGGGGAAGAGCACACAGGCCTCTTGCAGCGATCGCTGACAGCACGGACTAACTGCTCTGTCCCTGTGACGTCACACAGACCTGTGACATAAAGTGCACCCAACCCAGTCTTGAGTTCGGGTCTGAAATCACATGGAATGGCATCCTGCTGGCCTGGCTACCTTACCCATACAGATGGCTAGAATTTTGTGTGTATATTAAGGCTTTTGGATGTCAACAATGTCATAAATGTGGAAATAGTAACAGTTCATTACTTTCCATGTGTTGAAGGATTGCAGAGCTTTGCATTCCTGGTAAAATTCCTTTTGTTAAACCCTTTTTGTTGTTTAGTCGTTTAGTCATGTCCGACTCTTCGTGACCCCATGGACCAGAGCACACCAGGCCCACTGCCTCCCGGAGTTGGGTCAAATTCATGTTGGTCCCTTCGGTGACACTTTCCATCCATCTCGTCCTCTGTCGTCCCCTTCTCCTCCTGCCTACACACTTTCCCAACATCAGGGTCTTTTTCAGGGAGTCTTCTCTTCTCACGAAACGGCCAAAGGATTGGAGCCTCAGCTTCAGGATCTGTCCTTCCAGTGAGCACTCAGGGTTGATTTCCTTTAGAATGGATAGGTTTGTTCTCCTTGCAGTCCAGGCAGGGGACTCTCAAGAGCCTCCTCCAGCACCACAATTCAAAAGCATCAATTCTTCAGTGGTCAGCCTTCTTTATGATCCAGCTCTCACTTCCATACATTGCTACTGGATGTTACACCCTAGAAGCACAGAAATCTTCAAAGGAGAATAGCTACAAGTTCCCCAGATAGTCCACCCCTTTCTCATTACCTGGCACTTAAAGTCTCATTAACTCACTCTGAGACATGTGCAGGAGAAAAAGTAAAAAAACAAAAACAAAACATATTTCTATACTTACAATTACTGGAAATTTACAGACTTGCCAAGGCTGATTTCTTTACCACACACATACTTAGCAATCAACTGAACCAATCAACTGCAAACATACAACTCCCACCAACCCATGAAAAGAGAAGGGAAAAAGCTGGAGAGGTGGAACTCTTTTTGAATTCAATGCCTGGGAAGAAGGATTGATTAGCCCTGGTCACATACAGTCACCCAACAAAGTCCAGCCCAGTCATGCTACAGGCATCATGCAAGGTTGCAAATAAAACTCCTTCAGAAGTTTTGGTAGCCGGGGTCGAGCGTATTTGCGAAAGAAGCGGCAGTTCTAATCCACGCTAGCGAAGTACAAACCACACAGGGCTTCCCTTGCCTTGTTAACGAGGCAGGCAGACTCTGACGTTGTTTGTGTGAGCCGTGTTTGCTGCGATTAAGCTGCCTTGCTTTAATTTCCATTTAGGAATGAATAGAAGCAGGTGCCCCCAATAAAACTTGCAGCCTTGTGTTTATTTTTATTTATTTTTTTCCGGCCGGCTGCGCTTCCTGCATGCAGACGTTTGCCGGTGATTACAGGTATGTGCAGCCCTCTTGGTTTGCAAGGCAGCGTCTGTGCACCTGCGCCTTTTATTTTTACCTTAATGCAAGCCTTTCTGGAAACAGCTGCTTCTCCTGAAGGCAAGAAAAAGGAAAAAGAAAAGAAAAAGGAAGCCCGTTCACCAGCCGCTCAATTGATAAGTGAAACAAATGAATGTTCCGATTTAACCTTTGCAAGATCTCAGCCGTCATGTTCATTAAAACTCAGGTTGAAAAAGAAATGGGTTTCTTTATTTTGATCTTTTTATTTGCAAACTCTCTCTCTCTCTCTCTCTAAATAATGGAACTGTAATCAAACATTTATGGGGTCAGGGTTGTTTGAGGCTTTCCGATGTCAAACCCACAGACACTTCTAAGCATGAAGGCGCCAGTGCTGCAGGAAAACAACCTCTCCACCTGGGCAGTGGGGCGGTCTGTTCCTCGTCTAATGGGCAGGTGTCTCTTCTACACTTCTCATCCCTGTGTCCTTGTAGGAACAAGTTTTGAGAAAACAAAGTGCAGCTTCCGTGACAACAGAAGTTGACCTTCCAGGATCCAATGCCTTTGGAAATTCTTCCATGCTTTTGTAGAATCCTAGAATAATGGTGTCAAACCTATATGTGGGACAGGAAGCAACAGTTAGAACTGGATATGGAACAACTGATTGATTCAAAATTGGGAAAGGAGTACGACAAGGCTGTATATTGTCTCCCGGCTTATTTA